TTTTTTTTTTGTTGAATTTTTATTTTATTTTATTTTTGCTTTATTTATAAAAAGTTCGGTTAAAAATTTACCTGATGCAACAATTCTGTTAAAGTCGCGCAATATCCTCGTACTGACGGAAAATTCCATGGTACTTGTGAGTGGATGGAAATAAAGTGTGCTGAATCCATCCCCAGTCGGTGCAAGTGCTAATCCAAAAATGCCATCCGACCAGTGGAAGTCTACACCACCCACGTTGAATACACCGGACTGAAATTGTAAATAAAATGTTTATACGGAGGAAGATATTTGCAAAACCTTCCAAACAGATTTTAAAAATGAATTTAGTTTGGAAAAAAAAAATTAGGTAAATATTAGTATAAAATTTACGGACACATTCAACTAATATTTGCTTTGTAATTAGATGCGGCATGAAAAATTGTATATCAGCAGTTGTAAAATAAAAAGCAAAATAAATGCTTCAGATTTTAAAAATATGACTGTAAAATAGGATTAAAATTAATGATTTCCTGCATAGTCATATACATGTGATACTTGCACTACTTATTTGTATTATTTATGAGTATAATAAATACAATGTTTACATTATAAAAACTAGTACATTACAGATGCCCATGACTATATTTCCAATACAATTTTATCCGAAAGAAATTTCAAATTACAAATCATATAAATAAGAATTTTTATTACATAAAAATTTTTTTTTTTATTTAATTTTTATTACATAAAAATTCTTATTTATATGATTTGTAATTTGAAATTTCTTTCGGATAAAATTGTATTGGAAATATAGTCATGGGCATCTGTAATGTATTACATAAAAATTATAATTATTCTATCTCTAAATGGACTTATTACTGACAATTTATAATCTATTGGCAATGAACATTCCGATAGTTAATACAAAATATGATAATATATGGCTTATTTAGCTTAATAGACAAATCTTAATAAGCAATATTAAACGTTGATAAAGCTGTATTTAATTTTGTCCAACTTTATAATTAAAAAAACTTTGTTCAAATATTAATATTCGAATTAATCATTTTTAATGTACTACATTAATAAGATAATTTTATCTATTTAATTTTAGATTAATTTTGTGAATTCTGTACTCAAATTATATGAAATGAAAATTATATTTTTAAACGGAATAATAAGTAGAAATATTTTTCGAAATTATACATTTCATATAATTAAACTCAATGAGATATTGTTTTAACGTTAATCAAAAATATTGAAAACAATAAATTCGTACGAAGTCATTTATGTAAATAATTGCAGAATAAAATAAATTGTAAATAATGTTAGAAATTGAAACAATGAGAATTGAAAAAGTGACGAACAATAGAATCATTGCAATATACTTGTAGTATTATGTTAAATAGAATTATATTAATACAGGTTTGTTCAATCTTTCGACATAGTATTAAATTTATGTACAATAAAATTCCAAATAATGTTTATTGGTATTATTTTTTAAAAAATTATTGTTTAACTTTTAATTAAAGTATACTTAAAGATAACAATCTAGCATACTCATACGTAAGCCGACTTATCACGTAGAAAGAAAATAATTCTACAAATACTTTTTAATTATCTATGATCATTGATTTACGAAGAAAATTATTACGACTTCTTAAGAAATAAATCATTTAGAATGGATTTATTCAAGACTACGTATTATTAAGGTCAATAACGTAATTTATAAAAGATTATATTATAAAAAGAAGTATCCAACTTGTAAGAAAAATAATATTTAATTTTTTTTTTTCTTCTTTTTAATACAATAATAAGCAAAATTACTGTAAGGTGTTTAGTGTTTAATAATATTTCGTGTTAATAAAATTTAATTTGATATAACACAATATACGATGTCATTTCTTCCACAAACGCTAGTACCTGCATTTACTACATTCAGTCGCGTTTTCAAAAATATATTTAGATGTAATGAAAATCATGTAATTATAATCAGTTCTAATCCAATTCATTAGTATAAATAAAAAGAAAAAATATATTAAACACAAACAGATCTAAATAATTGATTCAATATTAGAATTCAAGAAAACCTATTCACATATGAGACTATAATTATCTTAAGTTACTGTATCATTGACATTCTGATAAATTATGAGCATATGTAATCATTGGGCATGCATAGTTTTGTTTTTAGTTTAAAATTTCATACAAATATCGGTGATATTTTATTGTTAATTACTGAACGTATAGAATAAGTATAAAGAAAATCTAAATAATTTATTATATATTAATTTCATGTATATGGAATTGATGAAAATGTAAAGTACATAAATACATGGTCGTTTCTTATTATTAAAAACAAATAATTTTATACTTCTTAATGATTAATTATTATCTTAATAATTATTATAAATATAATGTATTATTAAATTATTGAGTTGTCAAAGGCATAAAATAAATTATGAAACTGCGTGTCTTGTTTCTGAAATTGGATCTTTCGAATACGTGAAAGTATCCGAGTAATAATTTTAAATCTAAAAATCTATAACCGAATCAAATTCAACTACGATTGATTATATGCAATACCATTGGCCATTCGATTTCTTCGTTCGATAATTTGATTATGATTGAACATCTTACGTTTTAGACTATTATAATGCAATACCTCAATACAATATTTATGGCAGTATGTTATCTTTCTATGTTGGAGGGAATGGATCGTAGCACATTGTAATTGAAATGTCATTTAAATAAATATTTTAAATAAATATTATATACAAATGTCAAACGACATATGTTATACTTGGGATAAAAATATTGTTGTTATTAATATTGAAGTTGGACAATTTATATTACTTGCTCTAATTTTACTCTGATAATAATAATAATAATAATACTAATAATAATACGAATTAAAATAATCATTGGCATTATTAATTGTTGAGAAGCGCATATAGTTAGAGAGAAATGCAATAATGCAATAAAAAATGTATTAATTATTCTTCTAAAATGCATTGAAACTATTTGATATCACTTTATACTTTGTTGATTGAGGTTTCCATATTATCTAGCGTAACTAGCGGTACCACTTTCTTTTGGAATATACCACCGTCACGTTATATATAATAAACGATTATTATAATTATTGTTATTACTTTCATGTATATAATCAAACTAATAAGAATATATGAATGGTGTTAGTGCGGTAAGCAGAAATTAATTACTCCAGTTATGTAAAAAGAAATTTTATAATTACAAATAATACCTGGTTTATCTCAATCAATACATATTGTTTTGTTGTTTTTTTTTCAATTTTAACATTAAATTTATTATTTATTTAAGAAGTATTTCATTTAATTTTATTATATATTTTTTCAACAATTAGGCAAATAAGAATGGAAAACCATTCGTGAAAAACTATTGAAATGCTATTGAGAGTGGGAAAAATTTAATAAGACAATTTTCCTAAAGATTATTGTCGTTTATATGGATAGTATATGCTGCAATACGTACTACATATGTATGAATGTTTTACTAGAATCTCCATTTATTCAAGTACAATTTTGACAATTGTCAATATTTTACAATTTGTGAAATCGACTCGACTGATAAGCATACATCAGGTCATGCATGTGTATATGATGTATAATAATGGAAGTTATCACCGACAAAATGAATAACTATTAATGCCCACACCATGAAAAATAATACCTGAGGATCCGGATAAAAGTAATGATGCTTAATGATCCAAGATTTGGCCAACTTCCAAGAGTAAACAACAAGGCCCGGGCCACCCAAGTCTCCTAAGTAAGCGTACGAATCCTCGCAGCTGTAATCCTCGACGGCGATGTTGGCGAACAGAGAGTCGGCGGTGCGTTGCTCGTCGGGTATCGGGTACTTGCGGAGTAACTGGTCATTGGTCAAGTCGTAGACAAGAAGGGTCGGCGGGGCCTGTTGCTCGGGCGAGCCGAGAATATCGACGAGGCCCGTATCGAGGACCCAGAGCCGATAGCAACGGTCCGCCCTGACGCGGAATGTCGAGACAATTTCGGGCAGAAGGCCCTTGCTGTACTGGTGGCTCTCCCAGGACGGATAGGGTATAAGGGGCGGCGACGTTCGCGAATCTGAAATTTCATCCACTATTTGATCGAGCAAGGATATGCGACTGCGTTAATTAATAGTACTGAGCACTATGGAAATACTCCGACGGGGGGGAATTAACGAATTCAACGAACCGACTGGCACGCGCGCTGCTGACTTTCACCAGACAGCTCGCCTTGCCAATTCCATGTCAAGCACTGTTTTAATAAAAAAAAATTGATCAATCTGGGCAAAATGCCGAGGCTCTTACTCCTTTTACCTAACTCTTTCTGATCTACCATTACATAATGATTTCAATTAAAGTAGCAAGGGCTATTGGTAGAGAATTTAATGAATTAATTTAATGAGACAGTACCGCCGTATTTAAATATCATTGTTCGTAATAACAATTGCATAACATAAGCGTCACTTTTAATTTTAATGCAGCTTTATCGTTAATTATCACCTCAAATAACTTTTAATTTGCGCACCCCGTAAAAGTCATTCAACAGTCAACTATTTGACATGCATTTTAATTTCAGTTAACGACCAATGAGCCATTTGTACGATAATTTACAATAAAAGCGATAAAATTAAGAGGATTGTGTGAAGGAAATAGTTGAGGGATAATCGTTTAATTACAAACCATTAATGTTAATGTAATTGAGACTGGATACAACTCCTCGCTTCCATCTCGGAACCGTAATGAAGATTCGGTCGCCTGCAACTTCTAAGCCGAGCGGCAAATTGTCTTCCTGCTTGTAATTCGAAAAAATGCTTTTCGTCTCTTCGTTTGGCCAGTCGTATTCCATTTGCTTCCACTTGTAAATCACGCGCAATTGATCTATGGCCGATCCATTGCCCACGGCTACTACAAGCAACAGCCACGGACGCCAAAACGTGGAGAATCGCATTTTTTTTTTTTTTTTTCAATTCGAATATGTCAGGCTTCTTTGTAGAACAGTGCCGCCAGGCTGATTACGTTTCTGGCTGTCCAGTCTGACTTTCTACATTAAAGATAAAAAAAAAGAAAAGTAAAAAAGTGTTAGCGTAGAAACTATTCGAGGATTATTATTATCGTACGCGATATATGTTTGTCGCCCGAGTCGCATCTCTCTATCGTACAATTTTCTATGCAAATAGTTAAACTTTTTAACTGTGTCACAACGAATGATCGTCTTTGGGAAGAAAGAAATATGAGTGTATAACTAAAAGAAATATATATGTCACATCATGGTATATAGAGAAATAGTTGTGTAAAAACACATTTCTTTTACAAAACTAATAATTAATAGAGATCGATCATACGAAACACGCCAGCTAGTGTTTTGGTATTTTTGCAATTGCACGCTCCTTCAAAGAATGAATACGTGGAAATTTTGCAAAGGCCAAAAAAATAAATTGACTTACGCAAATAGAATTCTTCTACGGGTCAGACCAATTTTCTTTTTATATTATAATTATTGTATTAGCAACACTTGTTTATAAAACAAGACTTTACACAGATCAATCGCCACATGCTTAAAATAAAATAATTGTATTGCTTCTAAATATAATGATTGTGTAATTTATCTAGCCTAGTTTAAATTTAACATAGGCAACATAATGTTCTGATAACTCTGCGTGATTATTCATTAATTTTGTAAGGTTGATTAATTTTAACATATTTGCAGTTGCATAATATAATAATGATAAACGATAACGCTTAGTTTTTCACAATTTTATCGTCGTTATCGAAAATGTAATTAAAATTTTACAATGCTAAATATATATATATATATATGAATACAGTTACTTTTTCTTTTCAATTTTCAAAAATATTCCACTAACAACGTTTAAATAGTTTACTACACGCTTGCAACTTTTCTTCTACCGAAATTTTCATAATCATAAAATATATATCAATAACAAAACGACGAAACATTATGAATTCGTATAGAAAAAACAAAAAAAACAAAAACAAAAACAAAAAATTAATTAATTGGTAAAATTATTTAATTGGTCCAGTGTGTTTAATAAATTTGAAGAAATAATATTTTTCTTTTAATAAGACGATAACGTCTCGTAAAACTTAAAATTGTAATTTTTAACACATTACGAAACAAAAATTACTCGTTAAACATCAAATATCGATAATAAGAGTTACTACATTTTAATGCAAAAAAAAAAAAACGTAAAAAATTATGTAAATTATTTCCTATACATTAAATTAAAAAAATTAATGTAATTTTACGTTTCAGTCCCAACAAACTGATACTTTTTTTTGTCATCTACTTTCACATAACGCAAGAATTTCGCACCATCACAAGTCCCAATTAATTTCAAACTGGTCGAGCTCATTTCAATCGATATGATCGAGCAAAAGTAAATTCAGAAATTTTCATTAAATCAATGTCCCATAGCCATGTTATCCCTTAATAATATTCATATTCATAGTTTAAAATAATTTCATAAATATATAATTTAATTTATATTTAAAAATCATAAAGTTAAAGTAAATAAAATAAATATATAAAAAAAATAGGATAACTAATAAAAATCCCAGGATGAATTGTAATCAAAATAAGAAATCTTTAACTGTACGTGATTCGAATCGATTACGAAAAAATACATAATTACGCTAACAATTACTTGAATTTAATGGGCGTAAAAGAAATGTGCCATTATTGTTTCATTAAAGTGATAATGTGTAATATAAGCAGGAAATAATTTGGATAAACTTTCTCTCTCTCTCTCTCTCTCTATCTCTCTCTCTTTGGTTAGGCAGCCTCAACGAGGGATGACACTGAACGTACGAAAGTATTAAAATGTTAATACGAACTTTAATTGCCCAATAAAATAACTTCAACCTAATTTATCACATTTTCTACAACAGCTTATTCGTGCTACTTCATATTACTTGAAGAAAACAAAAAACAAAACAAAAAACAAAAAACAAAAAACAAAAAACAAAAACAAAAAAAGTGAAAAAGAAAATAATCTCACTTTCAAGCTTTCACTCTGTCGAATTGTGTTAAAAAACAAGTAACGATTATCGATAATAATAATCAGTGGGACGAGAAACTTTTTCCGAGAAACGTGAATACATCAATACGACATGAACGCGCAGCGATATTTTAATTATTTATTTAAAATGGCAAGGTCCCAATACGACTGCGCCTCAATAGACAACAACGTTAACCCGTTGGAAATTTTAATCGATGAAATAAATTACCAAGTAGACGTAAAAAACATCGCAACAGTATCGCGCGGAGCCACGTTTATTCAATAGCATACCGACCGACACTACATCGCCCGCCCCACACTTCTCGCCACGAAAGTGCGACACGGTCTCGTCTCCCATCTTCTGCCACCTGTATCGATCACAAGCAATATATAAAGTCATCCGAAGCTCGACTCGGGTTCGCACGAGAAGCCGTAAACACGATTGCTCGTGCCCGAGATTTGAGAACGGGCGCGCGGCCGCAGCGCCGACTGTACGCGTGACGCAACGCATAACGGTACTCACGGCGGCCTGTTTACAAGTATTTGCTCGAGAATTCGGGGAGATCTTATCTCACTGGCGACACCAGCGCGACAACAGAAGCCAAGCGCGCGCGCGCACTCAATGCCACCGTCCCGTCGGCACTTATCCTTTATGCTCCGTTTCGTCGCTCCACCGCGTGCCGCCGCCTCGAGGCCCCGGCTCCTCCAACGAATCGCGAGTACTTTTTGTCGCGTGTCGGAATCGGAGGACATCTCGATTATAATACACACGTCGCGCAGCCTTTTTAAATTATAAATGAAAGTAAGAGTATGCGACGCGTAAGGCTCAAAGTGAAAGCGCCGCGCCCCCCCCCCCCCCCCCATAGCCCCAACCCCGTAAAACTTATTAGATCCTATTAATCCGTCGTCAAACGATAGAACGTAAAACGCTACGAGTACGCAAGAATAGACGCGGTTTACGGGTTTTGTAGAAGAGACGGGAGGGAGGGGTGGGAGGGTATTACAATAAAAACAATAACGGCGAGACAAATCGTTCGACAAAGACAAATAAAGACAGTGAAAAACGTAACCGTTTTAGAAAGCCGAGGATCTAGCCATTATCGGCATTAACTGGCAGCTAACTGCATTATTATACGTACGTCCATTCGATTTGTTTTAAAATCTTTCGTTCGCCAGCACTTTTACTTTTTTTTTTTTGAAAGTCGCCTCTTACGTGGGAATACAGTAGATATCTCGTACCCTTGGAGCGGGAAATGCGTGCGCGGTGAGCAACGGGGGAGGCGTATCGATATACGCCGCAGCTGTCAATTCCCAGTGATTGCATAAAGTTCCGACGTACAAGCCGGTTACCTGGACGATTAGTACGAACGGCTCGGCGTCGCGTATCCAGGAAACTCCCGAGTACCGGCGTTGGAGAGCCGAGGGAGATGAGGCGCAGCGCGGAGAGGAGTGAGTCGTAAGTGCCGGAGCTCGTAAATTAGCCACCCGATGGATGCTGCACCTGTCGACCGACGATACTATCTCGCTCGCGAGAAAGGTGCGCGCACACGGAGTCGAGCCGTCGTACTGCGGGATGCCCTCGTCGACTGGTCGAGGGCAGCGAGGTGCACCACGGTACGAGGCGCCAATCACCGTAGGTGGGGCCGTGCTCCACGTTCGAGTGCGATATCACTCCAATGGCGAAAGCGAATAATCATTAGGCGATTAAGTTGTTCCTAGGGGAAAATACATTTTACTCGTTGCGCCTTCGCGCGGACCCGCACTCATAAATAATTCGCTTCTTTTTCTTCATCATCTTCTTCATTCGTCTCAGTCTTTTCCATCTGTTCTTTCTCGTTATCTCTTTATCGCGCTCGGTGCGGGCTTTCTTCTTATTTACATTAAAATCAACTGTTGTGAGCGGAGATTGGTATGGCCGATTGTAAGGCAAACTACGGCTGACGACGCCGTGATATATAAATTGTTGGAATTGAAAATGTTCGAGAATGCGATTTATGCGTATGACACTTGATTAATGGCCAAAGCGAACAATGTATGATATTGCAAATTTAATACCTTCACCCTATATAATACACTTACTCGTCCGTTCTCGATATTATTAAATGTTAATAGCAATAATATAAAGTGCAAATTGCGAGTAATGTTTGAGGTTAAAAAATTACCGTTAGGCTAATGGAATGTTTGATGTTTCACGCGCTGGAATAATTAGTGTCGATAAGCTTCCACGTCAAGATGTATGTATGTTCAATGATGTGCGGTATGATATGATTGATTCGACCAAAACACCATTGTCATTACTGTCAAAAACTGGTTTGCCTTCTATTGAGGTTAAGGTATAATTTCTCATTTCTCAACCATCAGCCACGGAAGAAACTTCAAAGTTCAATAATTTCATGAATTTCCCAATCTTATCGTGTTCGAATAAAATTTTTATGAAATTTCATAAACAGCCAAGCAACCGTAGTGCATTGTAAACTGGTATTAGTATATTATTTTATTTATCGAAATAAATAAAAAATATTCATTTCGATCGGCCTGGAGATGTCATAATTATAATTTGTAAAAAGCTTGAAGCGAAATTTTTAATTGGGAGATATTTTTTGTAGCAAGATTGTTTTTTTTTGTTTTATTTTGTTTTGTTTTGTTTTGTTTTTTTTTTTTTTTTTTTTTTTTTTTTTTTTTTTTTTTTTTTTTTTTTTTTTTTTTTTTTTTTTTTTTTTTTTTTTTGAATAAATGGTAAGTATACAGAAACATTTGTATTTGTACATTAACATACTTTTTAATTTAAACTGGTTTAATGAAGTACATAATTAAATACAACTAACCTTTTGGAAATCGAGTCTCTAGAACGAAGTAGTAACTGATTTAAATTACAATTCATTCGTCAACTACTGAATAGTAACATACATAATTACTTGCTATGCATTAGTCTA